ACCTCGAAAGACCCCACTCGATTATTCGGCAGTGACTTGCTCAACAATTCGAACTATGGGGAATGGGTAAACGACATCACAGAGACTTTGATTGCTAAGAATAAATTAGCTTTTGTTGATGGTTTTGTCCCATGATAAAAGAAGTTCGGAACACCGTTCAGACGGCTATAGCAGCGCAGGAAATCTGGTCTGACCTACAATGTCGGCACAATGCGCCTATAAGTTGTGATGCAAACTCAGCACGTTTCTCCAAGAGAAACTCTCTATATCGGCCTTCTACACCAGTTTGCGTGCCATTTGGGATAAGATGTACTCAATAGGGGGAGCTCCTCGTTGTACCTGAAATGGTTGTAGCTGCAGCGGGTGTTCTTGTGATTGGATTCAGACCTATCAAGCCAAACAAGACACAAAGCATCTATTCGAGTTCCTTATGCGTCTCGATGACGTATATTCCATCATTCGTTCACAGATTTTGAGTACCAAACCTGTTCCCACCCTGGTGGATGTTTACTAGATGATTGCGGCTGAAGAGCAACACTGCAACATCACCATTCAGCGGCGGCCAGTCGTTGAAACAATTGCTTTTCAGACCCAGGCCGGTCAAGACCAGCGGGAGGATCATGACCGTGTGCGTTGCACGAACTACAACAAACCTGGTCACACGCGTGACCAATGCTATTGTTTAGTGGGTTATCCCGCGGGGAATCCATGCGCCAAGACTGCTGAGGAACGCTCCAGCCCAGGTCCTCGACGTCCCAAGGCTGCCCATGTCGAGCCAGAGGTTGCTTCTCCCATTCCTGGCTTGTCGGTAGCCCAGTTTTAGCAGTTGAAGGACTTCTTGACTGCTACTTCAGCCGAGCCCTCCTCGACTCCAACCGCACATAGCCGGCAATTACTCCGAACTTGATATGTGGTTGCTTGACTCAGGGTGTAACGAACATATTGTTCGTGATGCTAGTTGGTTGGATTCTTTGGATACAGGTTTTGGTTTGTCACAGGTTCGCATCCCTGAAGTGTCAAGTATTCCGATTAGAGGATTGGGATCTATTAACTTCACCAGTACTATTCGACTTTCCAAAGTTCTGCACGTACCGGCTTTTCAGTGCAACCGGTTGTCAGTTAGCAGGTTGGCACAAGATCGTAACGTTGCAGTGACTTTCTTGCGTGACTTTTTTATCCTTCGGGTCTTACCTTCGAGGACGTTGATTGGATTGGCCGTCTTAAGGATGGACTATACTACTCGTCGCGTTTTGGAGTCTCCTCTGTTTTCCAAGCGTGCAAGGTGACGCGGTCTGGGGTTTATTCAAGCTTGTGGCACGCCAGGCTTGGTCATCCTTCTATGGACAAGCTTACTAGTTTGCGAGAGTTATGGATTGTTATGTCTCTTCTTAGGATTCTTGATAACATTGTATTTGTACATGTTTTTACACCTCATTCCTTGATTGTTTAGCTTGATTTTTATCATACTTTGGCATATTTTACGCTAGGTTTTGTTCCTTTGTCACATTTCATGTTTTAGCACGTAAAGTGAAGCATATAAACAAGTTTCAAGTCAATCGAAGATCATTTAGCAATTCGGGAGAAGAAACTCGAGTATGATCTGAGGAAGAATGGATTTATACCTCATATTATGGGCAAATAATCATGGAAGCTTGTCCTGAAAAGAAAGAGAATGAGACTATGAGCGTCTGAGATCAAACGACGACTGATTCATAGTGCGGATGAGGGAGAAACGAAGCATTAAACATGAGCGGAGGAACCGAGGAAGAAATACGGGCAGGAGAAATACGACCATATTTTTTCCTCCCATTCCCGTATTTTTAGTGCCGAGAAGAAACACGGGCAGGGCAAAAACACGGGCTGCAAAACACGATCGTGTTTCCACCTCCTGCTCTGGTATAAGTCTGTTTTCTGCGATTTTTGAGGGGGAGAGCTAGGTTTTGGATCCCAAACACCCAAGGGACGAACCCTAGAGAGAGAGAGAGAGCGACTTGGGAATATTTATTGGAGCTATTTTAGAGGATTTCTTCGCCAGTGGAGCTCGGGAATCAAGCTTGGAGATAGATATTGAAAATCTATATCATATTTCTACAGTCTCTCTCTTCTCTATGGAGTAACTTCCCTTCACCTAGGTTTTGAGGAACTCTAGTTCCATGTGTTAGGATCTTTCTTGTATGAAGTTTTGGATGCTATATTCTTTGATTATAATTGATTCGGGCCTAATTGCACATGTTTTGCCCCCCTTTTACTTAGGTGTTTGTGCCAAATTCACTCCTTAAAGGTTGGTTTTACGCGAGGTTCTTCGTGTTTGAGTATGTTTCAGGATTTAACAGGTGAAACTAGCCCCGGAGTCAAAAGATTGACAAAAAGGATCAAAAACCAGGAGAAGAGGTGAAAAAGAGCCAGTTCACGGCTAACAAAGGGAGTTCACGGTCTTGCATGACCGTGAAGAAGAGGAGTTGGCCGTGAATCGTGAGGCGTCCAGAGCCAAAGTGAACGTTACTGACGCAAGGTGAGTTCACGGTCACTAAGACCGTGAACAAAGGCATACGACCGTGAACTCGAGTGAATGATGCGGCGCGTTTTAGCGCATGCCTAAAGTTCACGGAGGCGTTTCATGGTTCACAGTCGTGAACCCAGGCCCAAACTCAGCTCATCTCTGGTTTAAAAGATGAGTTGAAATGAGGAGAGAGGGGAGAGTGAGAAAAGCCTTCTTCAGCATTCTAGTGAGAGAAACACTACCCAAGGGGAGAAGAAGGTTAGGGTTTGGCTTCAAGGCAGATTTTGGGAAGATTTCCTCCAAGGAAATCTCAACTCAAGGTCCAAGAAGACTGGGAGCATCCTCAAAGATGGTTTCCAAATCTTTCCCTTTTGTTTTTCCCACTTCTAGCATGGAGTAGACCTCCTTTCACTTGGGTGTAGTGAAACCCTAACCCCTAACTCTACCATGTAGTTTTCTTGTATGTGTTTTGGATGATTGTTATTGGGTATTGTTCAATTCAATGATTGAGGCATTATTTACCATGATTGTGCATGCTTGTGGTTAGCAACCTAGGGGTTGTGCATGTTTTGTGCTTAGCATCCTTAGGTTTGTGCATTTAGGTGCTTATCAACCTAAGGATTGTGCATAATTGTGTTTAGCACCCCTAGGTTTGTGCATTTAGGTGCTAGCAATCTAACTAGCTACCTTAGCCTAGCTTAGAGAGGAAAATCCCCCTTCCAAGGGAGACTCAATCGATTTGGTTTTCCTTCCACTTTCTAAGCCACCTACACTAGGTTAAGTTAGGGCAACCCTCAATGTTGAGTTAAGCAAGTCGATTTATCGTGAGTAAGCCGTCCTTCCTTAGATTTGAGTGAGGGAGTAAGTCAATTACCGATTGTCTAAACCGAGAGGGTCGAGTGACACGGCGTATCTTCCTTACCTCGGTTTAGCGATTGAGATTGTGGTCTCCAACCACATATGCATCCCTCTGCGGTTCGCGATTATCGTGCCCAAACCAATTGTTCCAATTCGCATAACATGGTAGCAGTTAGGGGGAAGCGACACCCGAGTGACTTTCCCACAAAAGAGTTTTCAAACCCAATCACCTTTGCTTTTTTTTTCAATTAGAAAACCTTTAAACCAAAACTTAGTTGTTAGATAATGATTTCAACAACTGAAGTAACGGTAGACGGACCAGCCCGGGTCGATATCTAAATACTTGCCCTATATTGTACCCGGCTAGAGTTTAAAAACTTGGGCTCTAGTTGGGGTTTTATTGTAGCGTAGTTTCGTGAGAGTCAAGTTTTTGGCGCCGTTGCCGGGGAACAACGGTCTGTTATCTTGAAAAAGTTGTTGGTTGTTAATCTAGCTTTTAATTTTCATTTTTGCAAGTGTGTGTTCTTTGCTTGTGCTAGACTTGGTGTTTTTTGATTATGTGTAGGTGGTGCATGACCCAGAGCAACCCGGCATCGTTTCTACCACTTGAGGAGGACATAAACCAAACTCTCCGACTTCTAGCAAGGGAGAGAGTGCTAGCCGAGGCAAGGAGAAGAAGTGAAAGAGTGGGACAACAAGTGAATCCCGGTGTTAGTGGAGAAGGAGTTGAAGAAGTCGAAGTTGAACCCATCATTGAAAAGGAAATGGCGAGGAACCCAAGGCAAGATGCAGACGCTCAACCCCGCCAGATGAATGAGGCGGCGGGAGAAGAAGGATCCCCGAGGACAATGGGGTACTATATGGCCCTAAGGCCAGTGAACATTCAATCGCCGATCCTACATCCTCCGGTGACGGAAAAAAAATTCGAGATCAAGCCGGCTCTGGTGAATATGATACAAAGCAATGCTCTATTCCACGGCCTTAAGAGCAAGTCACCAAGACAGCGTGTGCGAAAATTCTTGGAGCTCGCGGGGAGTTTGAAAATCAATGGTGTGCCGGCCGAAGCTTTGCAACTAAGGCTTTTCCCATACTCACTCTTGGGGAAAGCACTTAGGTGGCTAAACAACCACCCACCTTGGTCAATCACCTCATGGGACGACCTCCTCAAAATGTTTATGGCTCGTTATTGCCCGCATTCGAAGACGGCGGAGTGAGAAAGAAGATTACCCAAATAACCGAGATACTTGAAGATATGGCCCTTAGGGGGTATGATTGGGGGTTGACTAGAAGTGTAAGGAGAAGCAATGACAGGGGAGTGAGAAGCGTGGGAGTGAGTGCTCCGCTTGATGCGAAGTTGGATAAGTTGCTTGAGGTTATGCTTGAAGATAAAAGGCAAGGAAAACAGGCGGTAATGTCGTGCGACTGGTGCTTGATTACTAGCCACGAGATGGCGGAGTGCCAAGATATGTAGGAGGAAACCACTCCGGAGGAACAAGTCAACTTCGTGGCAAATGCTAGGGTCAACAACCCGTATAGCAATACTTATAACCCCGGATGGAGGAACTACCCCAACTTTGCTTGGTCATCACTTGCTAATCCGAGGCCCCCGGGTTTCAAAGGCCCCACGGGGAACTCCCAACCTCGTGAAAACTTCATCCAACAAAGGCCCTAACTTCAAGGCTCAAACTTTCAACAACCGTACCAATCACAAGGTGCCCTAGGGTTTCAACAACAACAACAACCCGACAAGCTATCCAAGCTTGAAGACCTAGTGAACACCTTTGTGAGTACGAGTAGCCAAAAGTTTGAGAAGATAGAGTAATTCATGGATGTGGCGACTACCAAGTTTACCTTGGTTGAATGAGAGGAAGGCGGCAAGGAAGGCATTTCCGGTGGATGGATACACACCACCTCTTCCTTATCCCACAAGGATGTACAAGGAGAGGTTATAGAACGAGTGTGGAGGTTTCATGGAAATGCTCCGCAACCTCCACCTCAACATCTCGTTCCTTGAGCCACGATATTCCAAGCACCTCAGGGGATTCCTCACCAAAAATCCCTACAAACTTTTCAAAAAGTTAGAAGTAGGTGAACTTAATACCTCTACGCTTAGCATCACCTTAGCCGACCGTTTGTTCATTATCTCAAGAGGAATAGTGAAGGACATGATGGTGAGAGTGGGCAAGATTTGCTATCCGACCGATTTCGTGATTCTCAACATAAGCGAGGACTCGGATATGCCCCTCATCCTCGGTCGTCCCTTTATTGCAACCGCCAAGGCATTATTAGACGTTAATGAGGGGACCCTAATTTTGAGGGATGGTAAGGAGAGAATCAAGCTTGAAATTGATCCTAGGGTTAGGAGTGATGAAGTGAAGGGAGTAGTTTCATATGATGTGAATGAGAGTGGAGGAGAGAGTAGTGAATTGGTTGTGCGAGAGTCAGTCAATTCATTGCTTTGTACTGGAATTCATTCCAAGTAGTGAAGATCTGTGTTAATTGCCTTAGCATTCTATCCCGGTGAAGGCTAATCGTCTGCTGAATAGTCTGTCTAAGAGGGCTTGGTCAGCTTAAGAGATTCCAAGCTATTTTCGGATCTTCCGCAGTGTAATCAACAGTGAATCAACCAAAAGAAATTTTAACTTGGACCTAATTGAGGAGCTAGGGGGAATCATACCTGGGTGAGTTCCCAACCTGTAATTAGTAGTTTAACCTAATTTAGTTAGTAGATTAGTTTAGAAAATTAATCATAAATCTGGTTTGCTAGATAATGAACTGAAGCTGAGTAATAGTAACTCTAGAGACCCATGGATTCAATATTATACTTGTGCCACTATACTGCAGTCCCTTTCATTGGTTACACTTGGCCATTGTTAGGAGTTGTGTCGTAATCATTAATCTGGTTTGCTAAATAATGAACTGAAGTTGAGTAATAGTAACTCTAGAGACCCATGGATTCAATATTATACTTGTGCCACTATACTGCAGTCCCTTTCATTGGTTACACTTGGCCATTGTTAGGAGTTGTGTCATAACATGTCAAGTTTTTGGCGCCGTTGCCGGGGAATTTCTAGATTATTAGGACAGGCAGAAGTCTATTACTTTAGCGTTTTTTTCTTTTCCACCCTTGCTTTTCACTTGGGTGTTTTGTTTTTGTTGGTGCAAATCAGAAACATGGATCATCATGGCTTCGCCAACCATTGGGGGTATCAACGAGGAGACCACTATGGATTCGGGTATCAGTACCAACCCCCCTACTACGAAGAACAATCAGACCCCTAGGCATTTCAAGAACAATCTCCTTATCAAGAAGAATTCCTCCCACAAACAGAAGAGTCATCGGAGCTGGAGTTATCCGTGGCGGCCTTTACAGGCCATCCGACAGAGCCATGCTACACTCCACAGCCAGATCCAAACTATCACTTGAGGCTTCTCATGGAGCAGATTGCTCCAGTACCTGAGAGATCCTTTCTCGAGATGGATCTTCACATCCGACCATTGCCCAAATTTAGTTATCCAACCGTGAAACAGAGGAGACCCTCCAGAACATAGAGAAGCAGATAGAGGGCATTGAGCAAGCTTGTGCACGACTTGCTCAAGACAACCTTTCTTCTACCATACAAGAAGAGGAGGAGGATGAAAAAGTTCACGAGGACATTGTGGAGCATAAATAAGTTGTCAAGAAGAGCTCTCGTGATGATCATGATCAGGAATGTCCTTGTACCCGACCACACCTTTCCACATCCCACATCGAACTTTGAAGAGGTGGGCATGAGTGAGGAGATGCGAGATGATCTCATCAAAGAAATTGCTTGGCGACTTGCTCTCCAATCCATGATGGAAGAATAAGGGGGGTTGATGAAGCAATTGGCATCCTGAGAACGAAGTTGAGGTGGAAGAGACTTGCACTAGCTATGAGTTACATGTGGTATCTCCACCAAACTTCGAGGAGCTGCTTGGCAAGGACCCATTTGCAGTTCTCTTTTTCAGACCAAGGCCACATCAACATTGGTCCCTCTTGGTGGATACGGTGGTCGTCAGTCGATGCTGGTATATCTGGTTTGGGGTAATGAGATGAGATAAGAGAAGAAGAGGTCTCAAGGGTGGAGACTTCATCTGCATCAAATGCACGAGCCTTCATCACCTGTCATACCACATGCTCGTGACTTGAGACTATACCTCATTGACGAGAACCTCAACTTCAAAGAGGTTTTGGGGTGGACCTAAGCTTAGGAGCCATCGTCCGGCTCACGACGTAAAAGCGCTTGTTGGGAGGCAACCCAACCGGTCAGTTTGCATTTCCTTCCTATTTCTCTTCGGTTGAGTCAGTTTTGTTCTTTGATTTTAGAGTCAATAACTCAACCTTTGTGAGATTATGTGTGGTGTTTGTGTTCCGACTACTCTCTCCTCCTAGAATGCACCGCCTGCCCCGTCCACCATCATTCACACTTGATCTGGTAACTTCGTTCTACCCTCCTTATCTTTCCTCCATTGAGGACAATTTCGTGCTTAAGTGTGGGGGGATGTTCGATTATATGTGTGTGAATGTTTGGCTGTATAGGTGTGCTTGGAGCCTAGTCCACTATCCAAATTTTTTAATTTGAGGGCTCCAATTATATGTTCCCTGCAATTTCCAGCTCGGTATGCTTTGAATTGACAGTCTCTATAGTATTATGCAACCTAGGGAGGTAGTGTAGCACTATGGAGGATGTTGTAGTATAAGATTTTTCCTATCTTTCTCATTGTAGTGTCGAGTGATTGTGTGAACTAGTGGCTTTAGGACCTTTGATTTATGTGATATGGATGACTCCCATTGTGTTTGACTTTTGTATCGTGAGAGGGTGCTCAGTGTACTTAATGAAACACATTTAGTCCCTGTCTCGCACGAAACTACACCACAATGAAACCTCAACTAGAGCCCAAGTTTTTAAACTCTAGTCGGGTGCAGTATAGGGCAAGTATTTAGATATCGAACCGGGCTGGTCCGTCTACCCCTACTTCAGTCGTTGAAATCATTATCTAGCAACCAAGCTTTGGGTTAAAGGTTTGCTAATTGAAATGAAAGAAAGCAAAGGTAAATGGTTTTGATAACTCTTTGGAGGAAAGATCACTCAGGTGTCGCTTCCCCCTAACTATGTGGATTGGAACGATTTCTTTGTGCACGATAATTGCGAACTGCAGAGGGATGCATATGTAGTCGGAGATTGACTTACTCCCTCACTCAACTCTAAGGTCGGACAGCTTAATCGTGATTAACCGACTTACTTAAATAAATATTGAGGGTTGCCCTAACTTAACCTAGTTTAAGTGGCTTAGAAAATGGAAGGAAAACCAACTCGATTGAGTCTCCCTTGTAAGGGGAATTTTCCTCTCTAAGCTAGACTAAGGTGGCTAATTAGATTGCTATCACCTACATGCACAAACCTAAGGGTGTTAAGCACAAAACATGCACAACCCCTAAGTTGCTAAGCACAAGCATGCACAATCATGATAAATAATGCCTCAATCTTTGAATTGAACAATACCCAATGACAATCATCCAATACATATAAAAGAAAACTACATGGCAGAGTTAGGGTTTCACAACACCCAAGTGAAAGGAGGTCTACTCCATGCTAGAAGTGGGAAAAACAAAAGGGAAAGAGATGGAAACCATCTTGGAGGATGCTCCCAGTCTTTTTGGCCCTTAAGTTGAGCTTTCCTTAGAGAAAATCTTCCCAAAATCTGCCTTGAAGCTAAACCCTAGCCTTCTTCTCCTTTTGGTTTGTTTTTCTCTCTCTGGAATGTTAAAGAAGGCCTTTTCACACACAATGGGCTCCCCCTCTCTCCTCTTTTCAGCTCATTATTTAAACCCGAGACGAACTGAGTTCACGGCCTGAGTTCATGGCCGTGAACCATGAAACGCGTCCGTGAACTCGAGGCGTGCACCAAAACACGCCGCATCATTCACTTCTGTTCACGGTCAACTGTCCTCGTTCACAGCCTTAGTGAACGTGAACTCACCTTGTGTTAGTTACCTCCAATTTGGCTCTGGACGCCTCACGGTTCACTGTCCATTCTCTTCTTCACGGTCATGCAAGACCGTGAACTTGCTTGGTTAGCCGTGAACTAGCCCTTTTTCACATCTTCTCCCGGTTTTCGATCATTTTCGCCAATCTTTCGACTCCGAGGCTGGTTTCACCTGTAAAATCATGAAACACACTAAAACATGAGAAACCTAGCCTAAAACCAACCTTTTAGGAGTGAATTTGGCACAAACATCTAAGTAAAACATAGGCAAAACATGTACCATTAGGCCCGAATCACTCTCCCACACTTAGACGTTTTCTTGTCCCCAAGCAAACCATTTCACACAAAGTAATATTTCAACCTACACAAATACTTTAGGACAACTCAAAGATCAAAAGTGGGAATTCTCAATGGATATTGGCAATCAATACATGGACCGTTGCAAGCAATACCGACATCTACCACAAATGACATTCGAAGCCACCAAAAACGGGCAAACAAAAAGTTCTCACCTTGTTCATGGATCAATGCCATTTTCAAAAAGACTACTTATCAACTATAAACAACCATGCATGGAATGAAATTCCGAGGAACAAATGGAAAGGCAACAAAGGTCCTCGCCTGGGTATGGAATGGTAAGTAAAACAAGAATGAATCACTCACTCTCAAGACTAGTGGATTCGGAACCTTTTTGGTGCAAAAGATGTGCACAATCATAACCTCTCGGCCCTATCATCTCAATACCATGGTGGCAACCTCTAAACGTTAGAGTTCACGGGATGGTTGTCACCACTAGCTCATCCGGAGGTCTTAGACACGGGTTCAAATGACTGGCAATTGTCTTGGACATGGGGAAAAGGTTTTTTGGGTGGTGGCAATCATGACGTGAGGTTATAAATCTTCACCCTAACCCGAAGGTTCTATGGTTTTGAGTAAAACCCTTCTCTTCAATCCAAGGCCACTAGCATCGGCCAAAAACCTTATCTCTCCCTCCAACTATCACCCATCGTGAACTACCTTGAAGCACTCTTCCTCGGTCAACTCTTGCTAGCTCAATAAGGTTTGGTAGTGAAGGAGTTCTAAAACAATGTGGGGGTTTCAATGGCTTGGGTGCCAAGAAACCCCTCCAAGAGCATGTACTTTGGTTTTTCGTGGCACTCTCTACTTTATCTACCCCATTTAATTACCTCTTTTTCGTTTATCTTTTCTTTTCTTTTTTTATTTTTTTTCTTTTTCTTTTCGAGGGTTGTACTAAAGAGTAACAACACTTGTCACCTATAATTTTAACGACCAAAGTGCTCTTTTTGAGGAACTAACTCCAACACTACACTTCATTTTTCTCAACCCTAGCAAGGACCGCACACGAACCTCTTATGTAGAACCTCTATGGAAACTCAAAGGGGAGAGCTCCGGGACACAAGGATGACTCATGTTTAGACACGAAGAAAGGATTGGGGTTGTTCTACTAACACCACTAAGCTCACACGCACGAAGCTCATAAATCGAGAATGACCCACAAAATCACATGGCTCAAAGGGGTTGACTAAAGGATGACACATTTCGGGACAATCAACATTTGGGCGTGGACTAATCCTATGCCTCCATCATACTTACTGGTGAAAACTTGTGATGCTACACACCGTGGTAAGAGGGAACTATCACAGTGGAAGAAAACGATCGGCTCAAAGCTCACAAGCTTCCTAGTTACCCAACCATCTATTCCAATTCACAAACACGATGCATGGCAATTATAAGCAATAAGTGATCAAGTCAAGACATCCATTCATTTATGCACACCTTAGAACTAAAATTTTGCCCTATCCTAATGAAATTCTCAGTCATCATCATAGGATATACTCGATCACATGCAAAAAGTTTAGACTAATGCCAATAAACACGAGAATTTCCGACCATCCGGCCACTTGCTCATGCAAACATTGCTTGGAGCCATCAAATTTTTGAATTTTGGGCATGCAAAAGCCTACAAGAATTAATCACACTCACACAAGCGTAATAGTAAACTACCCCCACACTTAAACTCGACATTTCCCTCAATGGCGTAAGAAAGGGGTAGAATGATATTACCGCTTGGGCTTGGTGAGTGAAAGTAGGAATCGAACCGGGGTAGGATAATTGAGCTCCAAGGAGATACAAAACACACACACAAACACAATACGATTCGCTCGAGGCGAGGTTATTACAAGCACAATACATGGTAGTAGTTTATGTCACACACCCACACAAAATGAAGAAAAATAACAAAAACAAAAATAAAACGAGTTCAGGGTTACAAGTAGAGAAGTGGGGCGAAAGGACTCCGCTCTGCCACATGTCTCACTCGTTGGCTACCTCTCTCCGGTGGATGGATCCTCTCCAGAATCAGGTAGGATACCCTGGCGTCGAGCCATGAGCTCGAGGATGTCGGACTGCCGCTCGAGGCGGGATGAGAATCCATGAAGCTGTCTCAAGGCGATCCACCCTCTGGATGAGGGGATCGCCTGCTCTTGGTGGTGGTGGCTTCTGTGCAGGGCGCTCGAGCGCTGGGCGGCGGCGACGGCCGGGTGCACGAGCAGGTGGCTGCACGGCTTCTAGCGGGACCTCGGGGTCAAGCTCCATTGGAGCCGATGCTATTGCAGCTCGGGTGACTATGGAGGGTCAAACTTCGTCAATGTACTCCACTCCTCTCTTTCCCTGGAGTACCAGCTTTTGGTTATATAATGTCTCCACTAGGAAGGGCTCTATCCTTCCCACGCAGGTGCAGCGGGCCAGATCCACCTGGAAGTGTCTGGCGATCCTCTTGATTATGCCCCCCCATGTTCATAGTGTCCACTCTGTTTCGCCCAGGCACCGGGCGAAAGAGATGGCGATCAACGATCCCAGATGGATCGGCTCAGCTAGACTCCTTATCGAGTAGAGGGCAATGAGTCCTCTGTTCGTCATCAAGCGGCCTGACTGGAAGCTGGGGATGATAGATCTGGTGAACAGAGTGTGGAGAATCCTCCACTGGGTCTTGAGCTTCACCGCATTGGTGCAGATCCCCTCGAACTCGCCCTGCTCGTGCTCAGGGCGGCAAAGGGCTCGGAATGCGCCCTAATAGTTGAATTCGACTGTGAACTGACGCTCCGTTATCGTCATGTGGGCGGTGTCGAGCTCCATGGCCTGAGCAAAACCATCATAGGTGAACACTCGTGGCTGGCCTCCCTGTATAAACTCCACCCGTGGGCGGCTCTTATTGCAGGTCGGGACGATGTGTGAGAAGGTGGAGTAGAACTCCACGAATAGCTCATGGAAGATCTCCTCGTCCATGGTCAAGAGTTGGCGCCACTGGGGATGGCAGAGCACCCCAGTCATGGCGGCTCGGCA